CTAAAGCAGTGCGTTCCTCCCTTCATCAGGCAGAAGGGAACTACCTCTGTGCACTCCAGAAGAGAAAGACTCACCCTTCTCACTGTCTCTCTCTCCACTGCAGCAGAGTGTGTCTTGTTGTCACACAATGCATTATTTACAGTGTAAAATAAATGAACTATCTAAAAATGAAAGCGACACTCCTTGTACAAACTGCAGCTGGTGGCAGATCTGTGTAGTCATGTGTGGAGTCCAAGAGAGGAGCAGCTCATTAAAGGTTTGGGGGGGAATGATATTTAAAGTTTTATAACTAGTCTGGACCAAGGCAATCAGCCTTTCTTTGGGTCATGCATAAACTGTTATTTCTTCCTTCTCTAGGCAGGAAAAACATGTATGAATACAGAGAATTCAGCACTGGCAACAACAGCATGGAAAGGGATGGGGCTTAGTGGGAAAATAATGGGAATCGCACGCATAAACTGCTGCCCAATATGTCATTTGTGCTTGGGAGTCTGGCAGTAAAGTTCTACAAAGAGTGACATTGGGATTCACTGGGCACTCGAAAGTAAGTAGATAAAACTAAACTCAATGCTCCATTTTGTTGTTCCTGCTCATCTCAAGGATCAGAGCTCCCAGAACAGTAATGAGCTGCGTTACAGCAAATACCAGTCTAGCGAGAAAGGCAGCTTTTGTGCACATTTCTGCAACGCTTTATATGATACGTAAACTTTCATGAAGGATACGGGGTGACACAACAGTCAGGGATTCTGCTATTTATAAATTCAGCCGCCACTTCTGCTTTGGGTCTTCCTACATCCTTTGGCCTGTGAAAACATGACAGAAACAAACACTTATTTAAGCACCAAAGTTGCAATCAAATGATGGGACGATGGAGGGAAGGTAGACACTAAAAATGGTTCTCCCAGAGAAAGGTTTAATGTGCAATGTAAATGCATCATGTTTAATGAAAATCATTTTTTTTTTTAATTGAGGGAAATTAACAAAGGTGGCACGAGTGGCATGTGCCACATTGGCAAAACAGATTCAGGTTTATCTGCACCACTAGCTCCAATTTCTATTTCAGTGCTGGTTCTGCTCGTAATAAAAAAAAAAAAAAGGATTGCAGCATTTTTGACTTGGTGTATGAGATGTAAACTGCCTGCCTCTCCCTGCCCATCAGTGAACACACTACACGGGCAGAGCCTGCATATAAAGCTCCTGGGAAACACAGGGTTAAAAGCCTTCCTCCTCGCTTTCAGCTGAGCAAGGTTGTGGGGGGGGTGAATTTATGCTTTTGCCACTCTGCTTATTCAGGTTATTGTGTAACAAAGAATAAAAGAGGGCTTAACATCACTCCTAAATTTACCTTATAATCAATAACTACATTCCCGTTACTCTGCACCATTTTCAGTACTAATGTCATTACCTACCGGAACAGAAATTGCCTGTTTAAATTAGAGACATCTATGGTGTCCATATCTACAACGTGGATCTGTCGGAATCCTGAGAGTGCCTGTTGACAATACAGGATAAAATATTACTAATACAGTCGTACAGTACCATTTGCCTGGGGTCCTAAAGAAGATTTAGGGTTAATTTCCATATCATATTCAGCATTTGCCATCCCAAATTTAGAATTTGTAACAATGAGATTATCTTAATCTGTCATGTGAAAATCAATCTGGTTCTAGTACACAGACATTGTCATTGTGCCCTGAAAGGAAAGTAGAAACAGGGTCTCCTCACACCATTAAGCTGCACTGAATGCCAGTCTGCTGGTGTTTGATAGCAATGCAGCGGTGTGGACTGAGCCTATTCAATGCACGGCAATTTGTCTTGTTTGCGCTTTGGGGCTGCGCTAGAAAAGCCAGCGGGCCCCAGAAACCTCCAACTACCATTCTCTGACAAATGCATTTTCAAAACACCCCATTTCACTGACTTTATTGGTTCCATGCAGGGCGATGGACAAACAATTTAACAAAACACAGAGAACGAGTCCTGTAAAAAAACACTTTTTTGTTTATGAGTTTTCATTATGAGCCCTCTAATAAGAACATTTAAAGCTGAGCTCCAGGCAGATGTGAAAGAAACAAATTATTGTAGCTTTCAATTCATTTAATACAGCATTACAATTCTTGCAGGTACCTAAATTTGACTATGTATCAGCCTCTTGGAATCCCTGTACACAAGCAGTCAATCTGGTGTACTGACAGGGACCAAGCTGACAGGAGAAAGCCTGGATTTCTTCTTTAAAAAATAAGTAAACTTTCTGCACGTATGCCTCACTCTTTCTTGTCCCTGAAGTCTGCTCAGAAAGGCAGTTGTAAGGAGCACATAATTTGCTAACAACAAGGAATTTGAGACAAAGTGCCCTGCAGCTTAAAAACACTCTTAAGGCCAGCCTCTCCCAACCATTTTATGCCCGAGCAACCCCTAGAAACAATTTTCTGATCTACAGCTCACATGATGTTAGCATGATCAGTGAATTGTACATGTAATATTGAATAAAAGCACAAATAATGCCATTTTTGCTAGCGGCACATTGATGCTCAGTGAAAACACTAACAGCAATTACTGCTTTGTGGAAACCGTATATGATTGAACAACAGTGTTGAGGAACCCCAGTTAAGAAACCCTGCTTTATAGAGTAAACTTCAGGGCTTGCATTGCAAAGTTTTGTTATGCATGGCTAGGCAGGTTCTGCTCATTGCAACTGCGCTGCTTTAGCCAGTGGGTAGAAAAGTGACAGCTCGAGCTACAATGCTATTGCATGGTGTCTAACTAGAAATACAACCATCAATAGGCAATGGATAGGGACTATGCAAAACTGCTAGCATGCCAAAGCTGTCACTTGTGCTGTCCGTTGGAAGAATATTGCATCATAGTGCTGGCCACAGAGATAATCAGTGGAATGCAGTGTGGTCAGCTTTGGTTTGGGCACTGCCAACAGCATACCTAATAATGCTTTGGCTTTCCCAGCAGCTGCTTCTTGTCCCGTGCCACTTGTGGTTTTATGTGACAGAATAAAGAGTCCAGAAGATATCCGACTGAACTCTTTACTGGAAAACCCATGGAGATAAAGTGCTGCAGTGACTGCGGATGGCAACACTAGGATGAATAAAGAAACAAGATCTCACCATGTGTTCAAAAAAAGTATTTTATTGACGTATATTGTCACAGAGATAGCGACGTTTCGCGGGTTGCACTGGGTCCCCTTCATCAGGCTCGGTATGATTGCTTGTCATACTGAGCCTGATGTAGGGGACCCTGCGTGGCCTCGAAATATCACCATGTCTGTGACAATATGCATCATTAACAGACCTTTTTTTGGACACATGGTGACATCTTGTTTCTTATAGAACTAAAAGAGTAATGCTGTGCTGATAGCAATCCGGCTGGTGGTACTCAGCTAGCGCGAGTCAAGGCACCATTCCACTGATATAAATGTGTCACAGCAGTATCTTGTAGTGGGCTACTGAAGCCACCAAGAATTTGATGTAGTTGTGGAGGTTCTGAGGACCTGGATGAGGCTATTCTATTCTTGAAGCAGCTGTTACCTACCACCACTAGAGGGAGGTTAAGTGGGAGACAGACTGCTCTTCTTTCCTTCATCTCTCGAGTGGTGGCAAGGAACAGATGTTGCAGGAATAGAATGATGAAAACACACACCTTTTAGGCTGGAGGTCCCTGTATGTGAAATCCTTGGCTGCAGGGACAAGCAAGTATAAACACAAGAGCAGAAAGTAGAATTGTCATGTAATGCACTTTTCAGAATAAGCTCCACATGACTTCAGAAAGCTAGAAGGATTTTCTTAAAGCCTAACTCTAGCCAAGTTTTTTATTATTTGGAAAGCGTGAGGATGCTAAAAACCCATCTCCAGGGTGAAAAACTTCCCTCGAAGTGTGGCTGCCCCTGCACTGCAAGGGGTAACAGCTCAGTTTGGTGTAGGGTACCTGGGTAAAGGAATTTGACCTACTTGGTCCACACTCCCAGCCTCTTCTCCCTTACTTGAGGATGCCAAGGGACAGTCCAGAAGCCTAAGGGCCAATTCACACCAGGCAGTCCGGTGTGTGGTGCCCGTCACAGGGCCGAAGCGATGTGTACTATTTATTTTTTGTTAGAACTTTACTGAAATGTCACATGTTATACGGGCACAGTGGGGCGTGAGGCATGCCACACTTTTTTTAGCACACAACACCGTGTTCTTACCACAAATCGGTGGTGTGAATGGGCACCATCTATAACAAGGCAACTTGCCTTGTCTTGCGTTGGGGCTGCGCAGGAAACAAGGGTCAGGGCAGCTATAGCACAGATGGTGTAAAAGGGCCCTAAGCGTAGGGGAGATGTGGAGAGCGCCGACTGTCAGGGGAGCAGAAATCAAGTAAATAAAACTGCTTTACCCAGGTCCCCGAGAACAAAATGAGCAGTTAACCCCCAGTGCAGAATTAGCCCCACTGCTAGGGGAGTTTGTATTTCCCCCCGTAGACAGGCTCTAAGCCTTCCTTGCAATATCCAAAATAAAAGAAACAGTTTTGTCTCAAGTTAGGCTTTAAAATTATGAATAATTCCTTGCTGTGAAAACAATAATGAAAAACAAATATTACACATTAAAAATATAAATAGAAGATAAAATTACCAGATTCTTGAGAAGTTCACACCCCAAACCCCCAGCTCCAACAACCAATATTTTACAGGTTTCTAACAGAAACTGCAGAGACTGAAAAAGAAAATGAAATTAATATGATTCAACTGCATCACTAAGATGGCCAAACTGTAACCACACTGTTACAATACGTGCGTGCTTGTGTATGGCAAAAAAAGTCAGAGTTTATCAAACCCTTACATTGCCTAGGAATCATCACATTGCAGTTTTATGTGCACTTCACTCTTACAGTCTCATTCAGTAAAGCAAAATCAGCATCTAAATGGCAGAAACCACAGCAGCCAATCAGCATTTATCTTTTACTGCTCTGAATACAGTAAACTGAAATCTGACTGGCTGCCAGGAGTCACTATTACCCTTTTTTACTGAATAAGTGTGTTTATGTCATGGATGCTAAGGGCCTGTTCACAATTCTGCCAATGGGTGCAGTTGTGCTGAACTTCATAGCACACTGTGATTTTTTTGTTAATATGGATTGGAAAAAAAATAGATTAAAAGTAAAAACATTTTTTTTTTCTAAAAGAAGATGGAACTTCGGCTGGCCACAGCCATTAAAGAACACTCAAGGAAAAAAAAAATTCACATGGGTCTATAAACATGCATGTTAGGACTACCCAAGTGTGCATGTTTATATTATGCAGACAAAAAAGGGAAGTCTCTGACAAAATACCAATAATGTTGTCCTACTCGAAGGAAACAAAAACATCCATTCCAACATGAAGGATTGCCATTTCCCCATCGCTTTGTCGACTGGGGCACCTGGTGACGTGACATGACGTATTCAGGCAGTTTGTGAGAACAGGTAGATTTAGGATATAGCAAGGGTGTAGCCAATAAGGGAAAATAAATAATCTTAATGTGCATTAGACCTTAGTGCTCTAATGTTCACCAGTGAATGAGCAAAGTCTCAAAATCTGTGCTTTGTCCATGCAAAGTAACAGTGTCGCTGCCGTGATGGACTACAATCCAACGTTTAGTTTACTAATCTGTATTGAGATTGTAGTCCATCACAGGAGTGAGATTGGAGCGGTGGCTACTTCTACACCACACACTGGGACCATGGGGAACAAAAGCAGCCACTCTCCAGAAGGAAGGACAGTGTCAGCACCAATTCAGAGATGATTTGAGGATCTACAGCCGAGTGATACACAAATAAGATACATTTTTGTTAATAGTTAAGGAAAACTATGAGGTTAGTGCTTTTCACACATCCTCATAGTTTGAGCCGACGTGTGACAATGAAACTGTCACACGTGGGCTCAATAGATCGGGAAGTGAGCTAACACATACTGTGGCTCACTCAATTCTCGATCATCTCCCTGCAGAGAGCGGTGACCGTCAGTCCCAGCTCCCCGCAGGGATTCCCCTCCTCCCCGCTCCGATCTCTCCAGCGCTGACTGGAGGAATGGACGGGGAGGGGACGGGCACAGTTGGCTCCGACTCTAGATAGGCAGAGCCAGCTGTCATTCACACAGCTGGGTGGATCTCTACAGCATTGTCGGGATTCGTCCCGGCAGCGGCGGTCTCAGTATACCCCGAGCTGTAGCTCGGGGTATACTGAACTTCGGGCCACGGGAGGAGGCTAGTATATGTCACTTTAATAGAGCAGCGGACAAGTGAAGGAAAGCAAGATGTTGGCTTGGCGGGTAGTAAAGCGAACCGGTCACTTTGACTTGCATGGACAAACCACAGCTTTGCTTTACAGCACGACTAAAGCAGGTATAAGCTTAAAATCAACAAACAGAAGTGCATGGCAGTGGTATCAATCATATCCATTGGCTTTAATTCATTTGAATCGTGTCCCAAATGATACCTGTGGTAATTGGCCATGCGTTATGAAGCCGGAATCTGCACACATGTGAACAGTCCCTTAGAAAACGTCATTCTCACATTGTGCATGCATATATCAATCTCTCACAGTCACATTTTCATAGCTCTGACTACATGCAAAATGTTAGGCTGATATAATTATTTAATTGCATTCTAGAACAGTTGCATTACACAGCCTAATAATCAAAACACAAATATTATCAGATTACTGTTTATATCACAAAAGGAGACAGAAAAGCCAGTAACACATAAAAACAATGCAATACTGCCAGCTAAATGCACACATTCCTTTTTTATTAAAGAAAGGGCACTGTGCAAAGTGCCGGAAACCCATTCCAATCTTTTACGAGTCTGCCTTTAGTGCGTTACTGAGGGTTACTTTGCTTATCATTATTGCTCTTTGGATTGTTTTACCAAAGCTAAACTCCGGGGAATAAAACTAAATACACAATTGTCATATATGTATGTTAAAGAACTCCAGTTAATTGTATTAAGCTTTGCAGTGGGGATACCCCCGCACTGCAAGCGTTAAAGGGTTATAAACCCTCAGCGTTTTTTGCTAGCAGTAGATATATGCCAAAATATAAAAATAAAACTTCTCAAACAGGTTTAAACTTACCTGCATCTCCGCCGAGCGCTCCTGTCCGACCATCTGAAGAGTCTCAGGTGGCCGCAAAGGATCTTGGGACAGGCACATGCGCAGTTCAGTTGTTCGGCCGGGAGACGAGGAGAGACACAAGGTAAGTCTATGGAGCAGCATTGTACCCACACAGACACTGTGGGACAGGAAGTGCCAGCTAGCACAAATAAGTCACTGCTGGATCGGAGAACAGCACCAGCGCTTGAGGGAGGGACAGCTGAAGACTACAGGAAAGAAGAAGTTGATCGGATAGAGGGGCATAATTTAAGGTAAGCCCTTACACTAACAGATTGAACTGCATGGTGCAATCAGTTGTTTTCCTGGAGTTCTTCTTTAACTGTTTTATGCCCCCAAGATTTTTTTTTTTATTCTGCTCAGCTACCCTAGTAATCTAGGCACCCCAGTTCTCCTGGTCCCCCCTACAGAACGCACAACTGTACACATAGCACACCCTGTTCCAGAACAGACCCAAAACTGCGGTTGGACAGAGAATGAGCAGCAGAAGACGGATATGGTCATCCACGTGCTCCTGTTTTTAAGAAAACCTTAGGTCACTATCTACAAAGAATTTGCAAGTTCTCTCTTTGCTTGCGTGGGTTTCCTCTTACACTCCAAAGACATGCTGGAAGGTTAATTGGCTCCAGTCTAAATTGGCCCTCGTATGTTTGCATGTGAGATTGGGACCTTAGATTGTGCACTATGTAAAGCACTGTGTAAATTGTTGGTGCTACATAAATACCTGTAATAAGAAAAGATTCACTGTAATTCAGTCCTACACTGCATAATCCAATGCACAATTTTCTATCATTTGTAACATTTTGGAGATGTAACAAAACAAAAAAATCAGAAAAGTGTGCCCATGTGCTATTATTTCTAAGCCCTCGAGTACAAGCCTTAGTGACTCAAAGAGAGGAGCATGGATTGCAGAGCGGAGGAGTCCTGTAATACAGGACTTGGAATACCTATGGCCATGGGCACTACTTCCCTGGGACCAAGCACTTGCAGCTGAGGAAGTCCTTCTGCCAATTGACTATGCCTATATGAAGGTTGATGTATGCTTCGGCCATTGCATTGTCAGACTGAACCCTGATCGGATGGATGACCACCCAGCAGGATGGTCAAATGCTGCAGAGACAGCCAAATCACCCAAAGTTCTCTGGTTTTGATTGGGAGACGAGACTTCAGCGACAACTAAGACACCTGCATCTACAGGGTGCCCAGGACTCTTCCCCAGCCCAACATTCTGGTATCCGTCAAAGATTTGTACACAGAATATGGGAATTAAGGAATTACACAATTCCAGAGGCGGCAACCTGGTCCTCTGTGCCAAAGGAATCAAGACGTCCAGGGATCTGACTGACTTATCAAAGGACGACAGAACATAGCAAAGTAGAGGTCTGCAGTGAAACTGGGCAAATTAAACTGTCTTGATGGAAGATATCAGGCCCAAGACTTTCATGCAAAAGCTGAGAGTCAGGCAACTCCTGGGCTGGAAAGCTCAAATCTGGGAGAGGAAAGTCTAAAGTTTCTACTGTGGAAGAAAAAATCTAGTCATGGGTCCAGGACTGGACTCAGATACTCCAAATGATGAGTCACTTCCAGCGACTATGGATCCACCCGAAACGCTGTCACATCTGAACAGTCAAGATTGTGCTGTCTTTCCACAACAGGAACTGGGACAATGACACCTGGATTCAGAAAACGGTAAAGGCCCACGAAATCTGTTGGTTGACAGAAAAAAAGCAGTAAGGGACAGAAAACTCGAGTGGTAGCCTTGGCACACCACCTCCTGCACCCAGGCATCAGTGATACAAGGTTTCCAAGAGTTCCCACACCCTGGAAAGTGACAGCTCAACTGCATGCTGACGAATGCTTGTATGTAGATATAGCAGACTGAATTCCAGAGCTAGTGGGCGAACCGAGAACCTGACTTGGAGGGTCAGGGCAAGGAATGTTCTTAAAGTCATAAAGGGAGAATAGAATAATCTATTCTTTAGGCTTCTTCTGCTGAGGAAGATGGGTGTTACAATCAGTAGTATTTAAAAACAATCCGAATGGATGTTGTCCCACCAAGACCTTGTAGGATAATGCAAGAAGTCACCATTCCAGCACCATGGCCAGGGTGCCCTGCATGAGTACTGGCAGAAGAATCATGCAATAACCAGGAAGTTTTTAGCAGACCGGCACAGCTGAAATTAAGGATTACAGCCGCAGTCCATGCGTATGCCATAGTTCAACAAGATACCATAACAAGCAGGAGCAGTCAATGCTACGAATGTAGAAGGTAAATCTGACCACCACAAAAGGGATAAATACATTTTCAAATGTGAGCAGCAGACCACAGAATCTGCTCTACAGTTCTGAAGAAGGGGGATACCTCTGAACCCCTGAAACATATTGGTTGTTACTGAACAAACACCAATATTTAAAGTTTTTGGACTCTCAGTTCATTGGTATGCAGCTTTTTTTTTTGGGAGTTTGGACACAATCATGACCTAATAGAGGCACTAACCTTTCCTTGCGCCATCCAAAACTATTTTAAAAAAACTCAGCCACGAAGTGGTAGGCCACGTAAAATGACAGA